CACTCCCTCATACTGATTACATCTGATATGAGGGTTAGCTGTCAGGAGGGCGTGCTCGCGTCGCGCAACTGTGGCTGCAGCCATCTTATCCCGTTGTTCTGCCTCGAGCTTTGCTTTTTTGTTCTTTCGGTTTCTTGCCTTGGTCCTCTTGCTCTTCGGTTCATCATTTTGTTGCTCAGTAGGTTCGTCTCTCTGCCGGCGCTTCTTTGCCTGGTTAGGGACTCGGAGAAAGCTGATGCCTTCCGCCTCTATCTTTTGCTCATAAGCTCGTTTGCGGTACAGCACTTCCTTCCGCTTTTCATCGCCAGAATTCGCCACTTCGATCAAATCCTTCTCCGGATAGCTGCGATCATCTCGACAATTGCCCTCTAACTTCGAGCCATTCCTATCCATTTTGATTTGCACGTTACGAAGGTAAACAAAGTTGCCCACGTTCGCGATGCGCGTGGCAACAGAAGCTTGCCTGCCCCAGCATGTGACCAGGATCGTCATCTTTCCCCATGGACCGGGCCATTCGCTTGAGGTTTTGTCCTCAATATAGCCGAACGGATCACCGTCTCGGCCACAGTCGTCGTTGGACCACTTGTAGTCTCGGAGCCCGTCATTGGTCGTATAGTCAGTCACATAGAGCTCGGTGGTCAAGTCGTTGGGAGAGAATATCTTGCGAACTTCGCCCAAAAGGTCCGCAAAGATGTAATCTTTGCCGCAGGGCAAGTCGAGTTGGTCGAGTGTGCGGAATTTTCCTTTGCGGGCAGGAGCGGTGCCGCCGTTTTCTATCATTGTATTGCTTATTTCCAACCGTGTTCTGGGTTGTTGTTGTGTCCATAGACTTGGGTCTTCTTGCTCAGCCATCCACTTGGCATACCTCAACTCGGCTTCGTTGAGAAGGGATGCTTGACCTCTTGGAAGAGAATTGCTCCACGGGCCATCAGGTTTGCATCCTCGTCCCTGCCATCTGGCCTTGTCCTTCAGATCTTGGACAGATCGAATCTTCTCCAACTCGGCGAAAGGAAGCACAACCCAACTGGATGTGGAATTTGACCACCCTGATAGCTGGCCTTTGTGCTTATTCATTTTGACATTTCGCAGGATGACGACATCACCTTGGTCTCTAATGTCTGGAAGTTGTTCAAGTTCCCTGTGAAAGAATGCGAAGGGCAGCCCTATACCATATGGCCATACTGGATCGTGTAACGTGAATGTGATTTTGTAGTCCCGTTTACCACTCTGGCATCTTGTGGGATTGAGAAAGTCAACGCAAACCCCGATGACGTTAAACTGTTCCGAATTTAGATTGATGTTGCAAGCGTTTGCGAGGTCGATGAACTTCGGGGGCACGGGGACGAAATCAAAAGGCATTGTGTAGGGTATTTCCTCAGAAGCGCATTGTTGATGCCGAATTGCACCCTGGAACGGACCAGAGCAGAAGACTTTGAGAGTCGCTGTCGTTTCAGGTTTGTTGTCTGATTGTTGGCCATCGATGAATCCCAAGGTCGCTGTGTAGGAGGAGATCGCGACGTGTCCTCGACGTGTTGCTGGCTGCCTCAAGAACCAAGACGCAACGCGAAATCACGTGATCTATGCCAAGCAAGAGTGGCATGTGCTTTCCGCCTTGACAAACACTGACTGCGTCTCCTACGACATCCGCCCTGCGAAACTGCAACTCCCGTTTCATTTGCTTCCATTTATTTATCCACACCCGGCGCAGCCTCATCACTGACCGCCTTCACTTGCCACAGCGCACAACCCCTCCTTTCACAAGTCTGGAACCTATCTTCTGCGGGGTGTCTTGGGCCTACTACGACCGTGAGCAGCTCTGAAAAACATTGTGTCTTCGAGGCTTTCCCTGAGACGTCACTAGAATAATGGCGGAAAGATACATCCCCGAACATCGGCGAACTCAGTACAAAGCGAAAGGCAGTTTCAAGCCCGATGAGCTGCGTCGTCGCCGTGAAGAGCAACAAGTCGAGATTCGTCGCCAGAAGAGAGAGGAAAATCTAGCCAAGCGAAGAGGTGTCCAGCGCGGAAATGGCGAGATCGGTATTGGTGGTCTCACGGAGCCAGATAGTGACGATGAGACGGCCAATATTGAGAACGAGGTGAGAACAAATGCTTTTGTTGTCTCCCGCTTTAATCGTGTCTAACGTTGTCTACAGCTGAGCACCGAACTGCCAGAAATGGTCAAAGGAGTCTTCTCGGACCAGATTGATGCTCAGATTCAAGCCACCACAAAATTCCGGAAACTCCTGTCCAAAGAACGCAACCCGCCCATCGAGAAAGTCATCGAGACTGGTGTCGTCAGCCGCTTCGTCGAATTCCTCCGATCCCCCCACACTCTCGTCCAATTTGAGGCCGCTTGGGCTCTCACCAATATCGCTAGCGGAAGCGCCGCACAAACACAAGTCGTAATTGAAGCTGGTGCTGTTCCTATCTTTGTTGAACTTTTGAGCAGCCATGAGCCGGATGTTCGTGAACAAGCAGTTTGGGCTTTGGGTAACATTGCAGGCGACTCTCCTGCGTGCCGTGACTATGTCCTCAGCCAGGGAGCCCTGAAGCCTCTGCTTAATCTCATTGCCGACGGGCGCAAGTTGAGCATGCTTCGAAACGCAACGTGGACTTTGAGCAACTTCTGCCGCGGGAAGACCCCTCAACCGGATTGGAATACCGTAAGTGACCCTGAAATCTACACACAAGATAGATCGCTGACAAGGCTTTTAGATTCAACCCGCACTCCCGGTCCTCGCAAAGCTCGTCTATATGCTCGATGATGAAGTCCTCATTGATGCCTGCTGGGCCATTTCTTACCTTTCCGATGGCTCGAACGACAAGATTCAGGCTGTCATCGAAGCTGGCATCCCTCGACGTCTTGTTGAACTTCTGATGCATGCCTCTACATCTGTCCAAACCCCAGCTCTTCGGTCGGTGGGAAACATCGTTACTGGGGACGACGTGCAGACACAAGTGATTATCAACTGTGGCGCTCTGACAGCTCTCCTGTCGTTGCTCAGCTCTCAGAAAGATGGTATCCGCAAGGAAGCATGCTGGACAATTTCAAACATCACGGCCGGCAACTCAACTCAAATTCAAGCGGTCATTGATGCGGGTATCATCCCTCCCTTGATACATCTTCTGTCCAACGGCGACTTCAAGACTCGGAAAGAAGCTTGCTGGGCCATTTCAAACGCCACTTCCGGGGGTCTTCAGAAGCCTGATCAGATCAGATACCTTGTCTCTCAAGGATGCATCAAGCCCCTCTGCGATTTGCTAGCATGCCCGGATAATAAGATCATCCAAGTCGCTTTGGACGGACTAGAGAATATCCTCAAGGTGGGTGAAATGGACAAAGAGGCTGCGGATCCCCGTTCTCCAGAAGGACAGGTCAATCGATATGCATTGTTCATTGAAGAGGCCGGCGGAATGGAGAAGATTCACGACTGCCAGAACAACGCCAATGAGGAAATCTACATGAAGGCGTATAACATTATCGAGCGGTACTTCTCCGACGAGGAGGATGCCGGCGCTGATATTGAAGAATTGGCACCGCAGGCTAATGCTACTGGCTTTACTCTTGGATCGAGCCAACCCCAAGGCCAATTCAACTTTGCAAACGGCAACGACTCAATGGACATGTAGAACATGGACATGTGAAGCGTCAAGGAATGCCACTTGACAACCCCCGCAATGACGGCTGACGTTGGTGTCGTGCCCGACAAGCAGGCGCGAGCAGCGACGCAACACACCGCAACTGGGCTGCTTCAAAGCGCCGAGTCCTCAAGATCACCTTTCAAGCAGACATTTTCGCTAGAGTTGAATGAGAGCACCAACCTCGAAGCACCCCATCCACGGCCCCCATGTCTTTTCACCCATGCACGGACCCCACAACTCCCACCCTTCACCAGCACGATTCCCAAGATCCATCTACGACCCCACAACCAGATGCACCATCATGTAACCCCTAGCGACTCGACACAGCACATTACTTTGTACCCAGCACCTGGCACCCAGCATTCGATAGAGGCGTTATTTCGGCAAAGAAAGTGAAACCATTATGCTCGGCACGGGCGCGGAAGAGCGAGGTATGTAGGAGGGAGGTAAGGAAGGGGAGAGAGAGATCAGGAGCACCAGAAATCAGGCAGGATAGCCTCCACCGGTGTCCTTATTGAGCTGCAGCCCCATGCCAATGTATGTCGACTGCTTTCTATGCCCAATACAAAGAATTCACAACTCAACCGACGCTTCTGGACTTCTGCGGCTCGCTCTGCTTTTCCCGGGACGGTAAGCTATCTCGGGCTCATCTTACCCGAGTTGACCACGAGCTTGTAGACAAAATAGCAATGGCGAGCAGGCGTTTGTCCGGTATTGTGGCCAGGTCGTCTGATCAGCTGCAGGATCACTCCATAACTTCTTATGAGAAAACGCGCTCTGACCAGTTAGAGGGGGCATTCTCCTCTTTTCTCGGGCTTGGGGCCCTCCTTGTCGATGACCAGATTATAGGAGAAGCAGCCTAGAACCCCTCGTATCGTGCTTTCGATGCATCATTTCCATGCAAGCCGAGTCCAAGATGACAAGGTGATGTAACTCCCGTACCCCGCAATAGTGGATGAGGGATGGAGGAGATAGTAGGGCCACCTCAGGCTGAGCGGGCAATCCAACCAACGCCTTCAATCGACGCAACCAGAGCTCTTGGATGACCGGCACCTCCGCTTTTCTCCTGGCCAGCGACTGTGTCAAAGATTGCCCAAAACTGAGCATCGCCACGAGCGCGATGATCATAAAGCGAGATGTAAGTGCCGTGGATGACCCTCCGCAGCAGCCATATGTATATATATCGCTCTGGCTAAGGTGAGCCCTGGAAACGTGTTCGCTCCCTTTTTCTCCTTCTCTCCTACAACTAACGGTCCTTCAAACCACTCTTAGACTAGTCTTGTTCCTTCCTGCGACGCCCAATCACGCTATCAGATTCCTACATAGGACAGCCAACGACCCAATAGTACTCTAGTATGTCGGCCACCGAAGTTCGAGTTGGTGGCTCAGGCGGGACCATGAAGGCCGTCAACTATCAAGGCGCCTTCAAGGTCAAGGTGGAGGATGTACCGAAGCCTGCGATCGAGCACCCCGATGATGTTATTGTCAAAGTGACCACTGCCGGTAAGCTTTGGAAGCCTCATCCTCGACTTTGCCGGGGTGTCGGGAGGGGTCAATGACAGTGACTAATTGTATTGAAATGTAATAGCTATTTGCGGATCTGACTTGCACATGGTAAAGAGCACAACTCGTGAAGGAGATGCAACACAGACGTTCCACTGACGCGAGATAGTACGAGGGACGTACTGGTGCTCAGCCTGGTATCACCTTTGGTATGTCACCATTGTGAAGGGAAGATGGCCGCCAACAACACCCTTCGCTAACACCTCAAACACTAAGGGCACGAGAACATGGGGATTGTGGATGAAGTCGGCTCTGGGGTCACCCTGCTGAAGAAAGGTGATCGAGTGGTGATGCCCTTCAACGTTGCGGACGGACGATGCCGCAATTGCGAGGAAGGAAAGACTGCCTTCTGCACCGGTGTCAACCCCGGCTTTGCGGGCGGTGCATACGGTTATGTGGCCATGGGACCCTATAGAGGTAAGAGAACTCGTGGCGTGATCTCAAAGGCAATGTCGGTTGGTGTCTGACGAGAATCATAGGCGGGCAAGCTCAATATATTCGCATTCCATATGCGGACTTCAATGCTTTGAAGTTGCCACCCGGGACGGAGCATGAGCAGGATTTCATTCTCCTAGCCGACATCTTCCCAACTGGATGGCACGGGGTGTCGCTTAGCGGGTTCAAGCCCGGAGAGAGTATTGGCGTCTGGGGCGCCGGGCCTGTCGGGTTGATGGCGGCGTACTCGGCTTCATTGAGAGGGGCGAGCCGTGTCTACGTCGTCGACAGAGTGCCCGAGCGGTTGGCAGCTGCAGAGAAGATCGGATGTATACCCATTGACTTCAGTAAAGGTGATGCGGTGGACCAGATCCTCGAGAAGAACGGCGGTATGTTGGATCGAGCGGTGGACGCTGTCGGGTACCAGGCCGTGGATACTGGTGGTAAGAAGGAGCAGCCGAATATTGTGTTGGAGAACATGATCCGGGCGACCAGACCATGCGGTGGATTGGGGATCCCGGGTCTTTATGTGCCCACGGATCCGGGGGCGCCTGACGAGGCCAGTGGGAAAGGGATGATCAGCATGAGCTTTGGCAAGTTGTTTGAAAAGGCGAGTACAAAGATGACGTCGTGCTGGCAATGCAACGAGGAGGCTCTGGTGCTAACCATGGCTTCTAGGGCCTTACCCTCGCTACCGGCCAATGCAATGTCAAGCAATACAACAGGTGAGAATGATCATGACGTTCTGTTCCTAGCCTGAGACTACTAACTATGACAGGTATCTGCGTGATCTCATCATCGCAGGAAAGGCGAAACCCTCGTTTGTGGTCAGTCACGAGATTGGCATCGACGATGCGGAGATGGCGTACGACAAATTCGACAAGAGGATTGAGGGTTATACCAAGGTCTTGATCCACCCCAATGGGCCATTGTGAGGAATGAATGGGGCTCTATTTGATTGCCCCTTTTCCCTGGGGGTTCAAACGATATTCATAGGTTAAAAATGAATGAATAGCCGTATCCATCTGGGTCAACCTGCTACATTTTTACCCCCACTCTCTTTTTTCCGCGGAGTATCTAACAAGTACAGTACGAGGTAGAGCCTCACAAGGATCTCTGTATTCCGTGCGGCTACTCAGTACTGTTGCCCCTTGCTAAAAGGGCCAAAATTAGTATTAATAATAGTTCTCCTAATCAAGAATTAAAAGGGGTGAATAGACTGAGTGGGTCTGTCATCCCATTGGCTCCTGCAAGTCTTGACAACATTGGTGTTTCAACCTTGCGTCTGCCTCCCATCTCCCGCCATCATTTCATTCATCTCTCATTTCCCGAATATCGCTTCCACGATGCTGCTTCATCCTGCTTCAGGTGTTGATCGCCAGTCAGCACCCGCAATCGCTCTCTCCCTTCGGTCAACGAGTTTAACGGCACGAGGACCGAATTGCACTTGAGCCTCTTGTCAGGAGTTGGGACGAAGCACGCGACCTTGACCATGATCACACCCGAGGCAGGGCGCTGGTTCATGCGAAACTTTCTTCATGGGCCGCTTCTGGCCCCTCAAAGCGAATCTGCTGATAGACATAGCTTGTCATTGGTGGTCTGTGTACTTGCGCCCTTCACGATTGTCGATCCGTCCCTTGTTCAAAGTACCTGGCCGAGCTGGGTTTTGCTAGCGCTGCCACAGACGCCGATCGCCAGCATGGCTAATCCCTTAACATCAATCTACGTTTGGACGAATTCAACCCAATGGTCTTCTAGTTCCTGGAAAAGTCTATCACAGGAAGTCTCTCGTATCTCACGTATTGCATGGATAGAGGCATGTATCCCACATGCAGGACGTGTCTCATGCACGAACTTGGCAGGTCGATTCCTTTATGAGTACACAGAACTACTCCCTGCCCTGTCCTACATTTGATGGCATATGGGATCTCCGCTGCGCTTTTTGTCCTTCTCCCTCTTGTGAGGTCACTCTTTGATGTTATGCCGCTCCTTTTTGCGTTTTGGATATGCCTCTGTCATGAAGAAGTAGGAATCGTGGCAATCCGCAACGCGCCTTGAAGGCTGGTCTGAAAAACACCTGAACAACACCCTCAGCATCCGCTCAACACCCGGCGGGCATCCCATTTTTTCACCATGATCTCTCTCACCATCGGTTATGTGTCTGGCATTATTGCCGCGGTGATTTTCATTCTTCAATTCGTGTTTCCCAATGCCCTCATTCTCGTGCTAGTGGGCTTTCTCAAAAATGACCATACGGCGGTGACCTGGTCTGTGGTTGAGCGCAGCCTGCTGAGTTCCCTGTGGTAAATACATTATGTCCTTGGTGCAAAAACTTTTTCCTGATGGCAACAGGCCTACGCTCCTCAAGACAGAGGCTGCCGCAAGTCGAGGGGTAGATACCAAGATCAGGCTCCTGACTTGGTTGCGGCCATTGGCTCTCGGGCTCGTCTCTGTCGCCGCGATTGTCACGCCCTTGGGACTTTACGACGACATTGTACCTTCCACGACGCCCCAATCTGTCGCCTTCACGTATATTGCAGACTCCAGTCCGATGGGATACGGAACGCCTCCACGGAGCCAACTTGGCTTTAGTCGAATTTGCGGAAACTTCCTCCCTGTGCAATGTCCCGGCACGACGAGTGTCATCACCTACAGTGGCAACGACACATTCATGGAGGCTAATATCACAAACGATGATTACGACACGAGGATCCCCAAGGTCCTTGCCGAACTCTACCAGAGTGGTCTCGCTCAGCAGCGGCAAACGGTCTCAAGCTTCTTCGACATTGAATCACGGTATTACTCGTTCATGTACCAAGATGGGGTCGCACATGGGGCAAAATATATTGTGGACGCATTCCGCTACTTGTCCAGTATGGTATTGGACAACGCCATTGAACCGGTGGAGGGTCTGGTCGTCGACACGGTCGCTGGCGGGGTCGGCTTCCGCAATCATACAGTCCCTGTCAGCGTTCAGCTTGGTGCCGAATGGACAGAGGACCTACTCTGGATTGAGCCTGAGACGGCCTGCGTCGACACAAACATCTCGGTCGAGTTCAAAATACCCTATAGCGGTATTGCTAGCAGTGATCTAGCCAACATGTCGCTCGTCGACAATGGGGGCTTCGCGAACTTGGTCCAGGAATATCCGTACATCAACGTGACAGACTCCCAAATTAATCCAAACTTGCAGGGGCGAGCCTACAAAGCTGCATGGTTGGTGAACGTGTATACAATGCTGGTCATGAACCTGACCAGGCCGAATCCCGATTCCTTTGGTTATCTGAAATCCAAGGTTGGCGACAAATATCCAGTCACGACATATCAGACGACGGGAGCGAAGCTCAATGGGATCTATGTCACCAATCTGTGGTCATCCCTGCTGGACCCAGAGGCCTACTTGTCCAACTACACCTTGGCCGACGCGCCATCCGCCAACTACTCCAACCCATTTGGGCTCACCTCTTCGAACTATAGCGACATTTCATTGCTCTGTTCAGGGGCAGGGGGGGCTGATCTTGCGAATCTCACCAATGTTCATGTCGAGTGCGGCTTGGTCTTTGGAGCCGCACAGCGTCGTGACGGGACGATAACCCTTGTGCAGGAGCCTGAAACCTGGTGGACACAGAAGGTGTACAGCTGTGCTACTGCAATGAAGGCGAGTATCAAAGAGGTCCGATTCCGATACAACGCGACACAGGCGACGGGTAACACGCTCAAGGCCTTGTCTATCGTCAATGTCAGCGACAAGTCGTACCCAGACAAGGAGTCGATGCCTCTCTGGGGCGTTGAATCGCCTGGCTACACGATGAACGACATTCATCAGCTATGGGGCCTGATTTCGCCGGAGCTTGAGCACTCGGTCAATTTGTCCACAGTGCGGGCTGCTCGATTGTACCTACCAGGATATGGTGGTTTGGGTGTTCTATCCACTGTGCCGGGATATGAGAACCTGCCAGGAGCAGACGGGCCAGCCGATGCCCTGGCAGGAGTGTACCAGTCCGGCGGTGACGACTGGGCAGACTACACTGGAGACACCAACATGGCCATGTATGCGCGATGGCGAGATCTTTCGGGGTCAGCAGCGACCGTGGCAAAGATCCCCAACCTAGTGTGGACGGATATCGCTGCAAACATGCTGGTGGGCACGCGCAACTGGAACTCTGGCAATGGGCTGCCCGCCAACCTTCAGAAACGGGATGGTGATGGGACAAGCGGAGGCGGCAGCGACCAGGCCCTCGTCCCTGTGACCATCTATCAGCGGCGCATTCGCTATCACTGGCCATTTGCCATCCCGGCATTCCTGGCGCTGGCGCTCTTCCTCGCGGTGCTCTTGGCTGCCTTCATATCTGTTCTGTCTGGAAGGGGCCTCCCAGCACGAGTGCGACATTATCTATTTCATTTGTCGTCAGGTCGCATGTTGGGGGACATTCAATATGCTGGAGAATGCGACAAGTTGGCACCGACAAATGAATGGCTCGCACGTGTGGGGAGCAGACGTAGCGATTTGCGCACTTGTGCCAGTCATAAGGCTAGCGGTGCTAGCGGTGTCAGCGGCAGCATCGGTATTGGGGCCCCAACCTCGCCGTTCCTCGAGCAGCAGTATTATCACATGGCCCGCGGCAAGACTGGCGGCATGACTGATGTCAAGCAGAAGGGGATGGTGACTGAGATGACCGAACTGCGGCATCTCACCGTGGCAGGGTCCGGTCATGGGCCCAACACGGGATATGTAAGACTCAATGAAAACGAACAGCCGGGATGGCGGTCACCCGGGTTCTAAAACGAGATATCCGGGGGGGAGGGGGGTGTGCGTGGTCAACGCGTCAGGCTGATTGAAGCTGCAAGGCTCCTCTCTCCGACTGGCGCGGGCGGGCAGCTGGAAGAACTTCCACGCCCCAAGAGCACGAGGTCGATTGTCGGCGAGGGGCCGGTAGGGGACGACGAGTCTAGGTACATACTTCGTACAGTTTCCTGCTCGGTACTCGGGAAACATGCCCGAGACGACATACACAACGTTCCAAAAAAGGGCTCAAGAGGAGGAAAGAGGATCAAAAAATCGCCGTGGCGGTGACAATGATAGGCCACCAGGCGGAGAGGAGTGTGGGAAAAGAGAAGACGGAGGTTTGATGGCACCACGATGGGATGTCTCCCAGAGCTGATGGTGGTAGATGGTCACCTTGGCATGAGTTTGATGGCTTGGTCCGGCCGGTTAGCACCAGGTTTGACCAGTGTCAACGAGTGTAACACGGGCTGGAGGGATTGGCTGCTGGACCATGGATGGGCGGCCGATCTCAGTCAGTATCGTGTCTCCTTGCTCTCCCTAATAACAAGCCAGCCACCCCAATCCGGAGTTAATCTGGTACTCTATGATCAAAGATGCTAGGTATCCCTTAGCAGTACTTAGCTACTCCAATGGGGAGGCCCAGCCGAGCCCATGTGCGAGGGACAACGACGAGCTGGACGAGCTGGACCAGCTTTTCACCAACCAAGTGCCTGCGCCTCTCATGCGATGAGAGTGACACTCTACTTCGTACATTCTCTCTATATTCTGCCACCAACTCGCATAACTATTTGCCTCTTCCCCTGTCTATTGTTGAGCCTGTTTTTACAAGTCATTCATTACTCACTCCGTCTCGTCCCGTGTCGTGCGCGTCCTGTCGTCGTGTCGTGTCGCTAGACAAAGACTTTCTGGCGATAAAACATCCAGTATTCCTACCACTCGACAATCTTCCTTTGTTCTTGTCCTTCGACCATACCTCACCGACTCTCTGTAACCTCTGACTCTCTGCCTCTCCACATACCTCATCTCACCACCACCGAGGTTATCATCATCTCCGAAAGCTACAGTCCTCCGTACCTATCGATAAACCCTACCCGCCTCCCCCTCCTCCAAGCCCCTCCCACTTGTCACTTGCAGTCCATAAGTCACCGTCCCCGTCTCTGTCGCTGTCACTGTCACTGCCACCGTCGTCATTACTCGCTGAGCTCAGCAATCTTTTGCCCGTCATGCGATAGGAAAACCACCGGCCCCCCCCTCACCAAAAAAAAAAAAAAAAAAACATTCATCCGCCTGTCGGTTGGCGGTGAAGCTTTCCTTTCGGTTATCCCTCGAATAGAGAAGAGCGGGCCTTGAAAAGAGACCAACTGCGCTACGCCGTCTCGCCCGTCTGTCCCCATCACGCCACCAAGGGTATCCCAAACCCACCGCTTTTGGCATCCCAGAGCCTTGTAATAGCCTGAGTCCCCGGCCTTCCACACAACCACCACCACCTATCCCCAAAAGCATGCTTCAACATTCGTCCTCTGCCATCCGGCCCTTCCGCAACGACACAAGTTCATCCTCCCCCGACGAATCATCACTCAGCTCCGAGCGTGTACCTTTTTTGACGCAGGAACAGACCTTTATTAACTGCCCCAATCTCGAAGATGGCTCCTTCTCAGATCCCGCCAGCGCCACTACCGCCGTCAGACCCGATTCCCTCAAAGGGCCCACAGTCACCTGCCTTGAAACCTCGACTTCTATCGATCATCGTAGCTCCAATTTCTCGTCCAGATGGCGTTGGACGCAGACCCTTCCGGCCTTGAACCATTTGTTGGGTGGGAGTCGTACGGTGGTGCATAAGGGGCACGTTGTCGAAAGAGGCTCATTACACAAATCCATCCCGACCACACCGCTGAGGAGAGTGCTACGCCTCCTGGCCCTGACGCTGATGCTATTGTAAGAAAGAAAATTGCGTGCCCGCCTTCTTTCCCACCTGCGCCTGCTGACATCGCGTACAGAGGAATCCTGGAGTTCATTGCTCTGGCATGCGGCCTCTTCCTGTCCTTCTTCCCCGACGATGCAGACGACGAATTTGACGCATGGAACCCTTCCCAGCGCACCTCCCGCGAAACGGGACATTGGCCAACCGATTTCTCCGCCGACATTCATCCCGTGGCCTGCCACTCGCACAATGACTACTGGCGGAAAGAACCCCTGTTTTCGGCTCTCGAGGCCGGCTGCACAGGAGTCGAGGCGGATGTGTGGCTATACGACCAAGACTTATATGTCGGACATTCCACAGCTTCCCTGACACCTGAACGAACGCTCCGCACCTTGTACATCAACCCATTGCTGAAAATTCTAGATCAACAAAATCCTCATACATCCTTCCATCCCTCGCTGGACAACCCCCGAAATGGCGTCTTTGACACAAAACCCTCTCAATCCCTGGTACTTTTGATAGATTTTAAGAACGAGGGCCATAGGATCTGGCCACATGTCTCGGCACAGCTCCAACCTCTGCGAGAGAGGAAGTTCCTCAGTTACTTCAACGGCACCAGCTTCGTCGAGGGACCCATCACTGTTGTGGTCACAGGCAATGCACCCTGGGACGAGGTTGTGGCAAACTCAACATATCGCGACATGTTCTTTGACGCACCTCTTGGCTTGATGGGAAAGTTGGCTGACGACAGCGACGCTCCTGAGGCTGCCATGGACACTCCAGGCGATGCGCTAGAAGTGCGCTGGAGTCAAAACCAAGGTCAAGGCCGTTCTGGTGCCGCGCCTGCAGATCCGACAATCTATTCCCAAGCCAACTCTTACTACGCCTCCGTCTCCTTTAATTCGGCCATTGGCTGGCCCTGGCGTGGCACCCTTTCTCGCCGTCAGCTCGAAATGATGCGCAAGCAGATCGCGGGAGCTCACGCACGCGGACTCAAAGTCAGGTACTGGAGCGTGCCCAGCTGGCCGAGAGGAATGAGAAATTATCTCTGGCGGACAATGGTGAAGGAAGGGGTGGATTATTTGAACGTGGACGATTTGAAATCGGCCACCTCGGGTGATTGGAATTGGGACAAAAAAGGCCCTTGGTTCAGTGGGCCGTGGAAGTTTTGGCCATCCCAGACCGCTGCATAAATCATCAACATGTGGGACACGAAAAATACCGTCATGATTGGAAAGACTGAAGACGAATTTTCACTAGATGCGACCAAATGAGACTCCGCGCACCAAGACGAGATGATGGAGATGAGAGCTTTGGTCGAGATTGACCCTATGAGCTAGAGGCCCCAAAACTACGACCGGGGTTTCACGGAAATACAGCTACCGTTGAATGGGCTGAACAAGGCGTTTATGGGAAATGGGATGGCATTCTGCATTTTGTTACTGTCAGGGACATGAGCAGCATTATGATACCCAAGCTTTAGAGCATAAACCGGTTACAGAATGAGGTGCAATATAACCCCACTGGACTTGAGGTGCGAGTGGCTGTCATGCTAACTAGGAATATTCCTATGCTTGTCAGCGTCTTCATCTAGTCAGTCCAACCACATCGACACCCTCTAGGCTCCTGCTCGCTCTCCATAGTCGCTACTTCTTCGGTTGTCTGTTGCCCTACGAGGCTCCCAACGACTTAAAAGATCTCGTCTTTCTCCCCTGCTGCTTTTGTTCTAGACGTTCTCCTCACTTTGCATTCGATATCGCTGTCACCTGTGTCATGTTGCTCTGATTTTGTGCTGCATTTACTCCCAACCCATTCTCCAACACACAATCAATCCCCATTTACTCGGTACCAGCTCCTCGCTGATCTCGCTGAGCATGGCAATCGAATCTTGATGTCCACAGGATTGAGGCTTCAATATCGCTACGAATTAATCCAATAGTTTGTGTCGCGATGTTAGCACAAGTCTTTGCCTTTTTTTTTCCCCTGCCAGCATCAACCGGAACTTTTCTCAGCCTTGTCGGCTTGTAGCTCGCCTCGTCGGATGCACGTGAAAGGCTCCGCTCTTCAGGCTTGGCGAGTTTGCAACATCTGCCATCTTCTCGAGGTTTGTGATACGACGGTTCTTTCGCTTTTCTCATTACCGACTGCGAGTACAGCGAACATGGCGGCTGCAGCACAGTCGCTCTCGGAGCGGACGCGATTGCTCTTTGGGAGCTCTTATGGCGAAGCGATTGATCCATCGACACTCCCCATTTCCTCCTCCTTCAAGAGAAAGGTCGAATACGAAAGCGTCCGCGAACTGCCCAAAGCACTGGCCGAGAAGCAGGCGAAGGCAACGGCTGCGCGAGGACCAAAAAGACCCAAGATGGCAACCGGGAACAATCAGATGGCGTTGGTAAAGAGCGAGGCGAAACCGGACTCACAAGGGCCGTCACCACAACGTAACGGTATCGGGAGCAGTCTGATCCGCAGACCAAACATGCAACAGCCACGACCCGACTGGCATGCGCCTTGGAAATTGATGAGAGTCATATCCGGACACCTGGGATGGGTGCGCGCATTGGCGGTGGAACCAGGCAATGAGTGGTTTGCATCTGGAGCAGGAGACAGGACGATAAAAATTTGGGATCTGGCCACGGGCCAACTCCGCTTGACATTGACGGGTCATATCTCTACGGTTCGTGGACTGGCGGTGTCGCCGCGCCATCCATACCTTTTCTCCTGCGGCGAGGACAAGATGGTGAAATGCTGGGACCTGGAAACCAACAAAGTCATTCGTCACTATCACGGCCATTTGTCCGGCGTCTACACCCTTTCATTACATCCGACGCTCGACGTGCTGGTCACTGGTGGGAGAGACGGCGTCGCTCGTGTCTGGGACATGCGCACGCGCTCCAACATTCATGTCCTATCTGGCCACAAGGGCACCGTCTCGGATGTGAAATGCCAGGAAGCGGATCCTCAAGTCATCACTTCGAGTCTCGACGCCACCGTGCGACTATGGGACCTCGCGGCGGGCAAAACCATGGGCGTACTCACACATCATAAGAAAGGCGTCAGGGCGCTGGCTATCCACCCGAAGGAATTCACATTTGCATCTGCGTCAGCCGGTTCGATAAAACAGTGGAAATGCCCCGAGGGTGCATTCATGCAGAATTTTGAAGGGCACAATGCGATCATCAACACCCTAGCCGTGAATGAGGATAATGTGCTCTTCAGTGGAGGCGATAACGGTAGTATTTGCTTCTGGGACTGGAAGACAGGACATCGGTTCCAGAGTACCGAGTCCCTGGCGCAGCCAGGGTCATTAGATGCCGAGGCGGGTATTATGAGCAGTACATTTGATCAGACAGGGCTGCGGTTGATTATGGGAGAGGCTGATAAGACGATCAAGATTTGGAGACCGGATCCCGAGGCCACGCCGGAGACACACCCATTGGACTGGAAGCCGACATTGGGCCGGGTAAAATACTGAAGACTTCAGCGCCGTTGCCTCGTGCCTGGTGGCTGTTATGGCGGAATTGGATCGTATCGGATCGCATCTTGCATTGAGCGACGGCGTTCGAGGCGCTGTTTTGGGTGGGGGGGGGGCTATTAGGAGGGCTCTCTGATCACAAGGGTCAGAATTTTAGAACAAGTTTTGTTGCATGGGAAAATGAATTACGTTCTGTTGGTTTCCGGAGAAAATCAAGGTCGATACCCAAGAAAGGCTTCATCTAGAAGTCGTCACGGGAGCTCTTATGGTGGTCAGCGGCGTGCAATGTGCTCTGCTGTGGCGTGGCGCTCGAGGAAGACCATACAATGATATGACATGATAATTGGCATATACCACTTGACGATGTATTACACCCCCTCCATTCTTTCATCTCTCGTCCCCTTCTGTCCGCGAAGGATTTCGGTTGCAGAGTTACACGAGCCCGTAATATTGTGCGGGGTGTGAGCGTTCGATCGATCTGATCGGTCAGTTTTGACGAGGCTGACCGCCCCTTTGCCTTGTTTCGTAGCTGATTTTGAAATTGGATTTCTTCGACAAGAATGTACGTATAAGCCCCCGCACGCAAATCAGGACACATGGAAGATGCTATATATCTCAGATTCTCTCGTGGTCACCCACCCATATGCGTGTCCTGCTTCGACCCACGGATACAACAGAACCAGGTACCACGCTAGGTGACGGCCACACGCCCCCCTCTCATATCAACAAATAAACGCTTTGAAGCGCACATTGTATGATTTCTCGTCACTATCGAGACTCTCCACGGCCAAGAACGCAATGGCTTGCCATCGCCTCATTACTATAGCTACTGTTTTGCAGTCATCAATGCCAAACGACGAGTGTTACCCAGCATTTCATGGAACATGTGGAAGCAAGAGAGAATAATGCTCAGGCTCGACCTCGCCGCTCTGACGGGGAGGCTATGCTTCGACAGAATACCTGATTAAGAAGTGTCTATTGTGACTCAAGCCAGGGAAACCACAGACCATCGAACTGTCTGGCAGCTTAGGGCAAGATCAAAAGGCCTGAATTACCGCCTTGTCCATCGTCATCAATCACCACACCACGCAGCAGACTTCGCTTGCTCCTCCCACACCAGCCATAGCGTCTGCCGCATCAATTTGTCTGCTGGCCACCCTGATGGGTTCGGGTTTGCTGAGCCTGAGCCTGAGCCTGAGCCTGAGCCTGAGCCCGCTCAGTTTGTTGTCGTTGCCGGCGAGCTATTTTCCTTTGCCCCATGGCCTTAGACTCGGCGTCTTGTTGCCTATTCCCCTCTTCGATTTCGCTGACAGCTCTAGCATCCTCTTCCTCCAGAATTTGTCGTATTATTTCTTTTTCTTCTGAATCATTCTGTTATTGATCGCGTTCATGAGACGCGTCAAACCAAGTGACTCACCTTTAGTCAACAGCATCGACACGGCTGCCATAGGTGAACCTTGGGAATGTGGTGCCCAGCAACTTTCCTTTCCGGTCATGACAGCAACCATTTCACTGCCTTCTACTACACAGAAAGCGAAATCGTATGTGATCATGTCTCTCCTGAGGCTCAATTCGACTCTAGCGCACCAGGACTTGTGACGGCATGAATGAGAATCGTCGAGTGGCCAAGAAGTCGAATCCAACTGGAAGCTTGTGAAAAGGGCAGAAGTGATGGTGCAGCAAGGGGTATTTTCGTCCTGCACCACCGGCAGGGGCAAATACTTCCTTTCCCCTCCAGGACGTGCATAGACTTTCAAGATGGGCTTGTTGGGAAGTTCCCTGGAGCTAATGGGGGGGAGGTTGGCAGCCATTCTGGAAAATGATCTGTGAACGACTTGAGATTGGAGCCCTTGAAATACGAAATCGAATTATGAAAGAAGGAAAAGAGTGGTGACTCCAACACAGGACACTGCCGGACATTATATACCCCAGGTTCTCTCGTCAGGCTCTGCCTTCTGTTCGAAGGTGGGTGAGCCAGCATCAGTACTCCTTCCACAATGCAACCATTCAGCGAACATCCTAAGTCAATTCGGGTTACACCGCAGCAGGTGCGACAGGATTCGGGGACACGTAGGCACGTGTCCTGAACAACGACCTTAGGCATCAGTGAGCTGTTCAAAGCGGTCAACTATCGTCGTCCATTCACCATCATCAGCCCTTGTCGTCGTTCCCTCTGGAGGGGGGCCCGTTCTGCAGCCGGGTTTGAGAGACGAGAATATAGGCAAACATTGTCGGTGAGCAGTGTTTTGAATGAATCTTTATTGGGCTTTCTTTTTTTTCTGATGGTGTACTGAACAAGAAAGCAGCCGCAAGTGACCCCTGCGAATACATGAAGAATTAGGCAGAAGTGATGCCCATGGCCCAAAGATCACAGTTTATGAGGCAATATCCTCCTTCACCGGTCAGATTTTGCATCACTTCAAACGCTTTTCTCGCCAATCCCGAACCAGTCGCGCCCCGAATTTCTTTGCGTTTTCCAAGTCCACATAAGCATCAACGAAAGGGAGGAAGCGGTCTTCCAGCAGATACACCTTGATACGTTGAGCTTCGTGCGGTCTATCAAACGTAAAGAGATCAAGCCACACGAATTGGTTGCTGAATATTGGCAGCCCGTTGAACGTTAAGAGTATCTTCGGGTGCCTCAGTCTCTGGATTCGTGCGTTGCCTCGCTTTGCGATCGACAAACGGGCCACCATGGCTTTAGCCCCCGTATCTATATATGCGTTGACAGCACAGTCGCGTCCCCGGCATCCGATGTAGAAAAGCGGTAGCTCAGGACCGATCTCCAGGAAGTCCATGCCAAGTCTTCTAGACCCAGGGGACAACGATTCCTCAGCATTATCGTCTGCTGCGGATATAGGGATGGACGGAGACCCAGGTTCCTGTATGCCACGTGTCTGCATGTGTGAGGCATTAAGGTACGAAAGGTCTGTAGGCACAAGTGTCAAGGTTGATCGTGAAGTCGTCGTGTGGGTGTAGGTTTCGAAGACGTCCTGATTGGACACGTCGTTCGCGACCAGCGAGTCTGCAGAATTTCGCTGGTGCTCATTGCCAACAGTTCCATCCATACTTCCATCTGAGTAAGACTGGAGCTCTTCATACACGTCAATTGGCTGACCCCATATCCCAGATTGATGTATTTGCTCAATCACTCGCAAGAGAGCCTTAATATCATCATTTAGGGGTCTAATCACAGCACAGTACTTGCGGGTATTTTCATGTTGTCTGCAGGCTGATACCCATTGCTGGGTCGTTCGCATATCTCGACCGAGCCCGTTGTGAGACATCAGGGAGATGTATGGCGAACGTCACTTAATTTTTTTTTTTTTTTTTTCTAGTGTGTGTATGTGTGTGTGAATGCTCTTTGTATTGGCTGACAGTGTCTTTGCATGCACCCCGTGGATCTCGACGCGAATGTATGTAGGGGGAGTCAGTTGTTTCCGGCCCTTCTCTCACAAAAGGGACAGGCCGAGTGTCGTGGATCAAAACGAGAGAGGTATATCGAGGGGCTTGCCCGACTGAACCTGGAGTTCTTCGCGGTGTAGGTCACGCTGAAGGGGAACGAGCAGCAAAACGAGGGTATCAGGGACAACCAGACACTGAAGAAATCGGTTTCAAAATCAAGGATTATGGCAAAGAGAAGACGCCGCTAAAAAGAGCAAGGAGAGTCCGCAGAAGGTCAGAAAAGACGGTGAAGAAAGATGCCAAAATTGGCTCGTTGAACAGTCAACACGCAGCCAATGTGGCAGAAGGGGGGAGACCGGAAGAGCCTCGCTGAGCAGATCGACAACTGACGTATGGATGGGAACAGGTGGCCGCTGCAGTTGAATTGCAGACGCCGGCTCGGCGACGTCGACGGGTTGGCTTTTCCGGGCCTAAAGACTGCACGAAGGAGAAACAAGGAGAAACGACTCTGATGTGTCTCCTTGTCTCATGCAGTTGGGCGCAGAGCCATCAGAAGAATGCCCTCTCCCACAACAGGCCCCTATTCAAAACCGTGACACAGGCTCAAGCCATGGAAGACTCCCCGTATGCATGGCTCTGGCCTACATCGAGTGAAGATGGAACCACCGCCGGATTCGGTGTCTCATATCTGAACAAGTAGGTACTGTCCGTAGCATGTCTCGAGGATCATTCGAAATGTCTTTGCTGATCCGCGAGACTTGCTCTGTGACTGCACTCAACAAGCCCCAGCTTGATGCTATACTTACGACTTAGGGCTTAGGGCTCTCTGAATGGGGCCCATCAACCCTGAGGGCTCTGGGTCCCGGAAGCCGCGTCGACGGTTGCTGTTTAGCGTGATGTTAGCCAACTGGGGCCGTAACCAGGCGGTGATGATAGGACATAGTACATCCTCTGTACTTCCTTACCTGTGAAGTCGTCCACTCAGTCAGAGTCGACATCGCTTGCCTTGGGATGAAAATCCAACCAAATGGTACATCCATCCGACACGAGAAAGGTGAAATATCGAGGATGGTATTTGAACAAACCTTGACGGGCTTGTTGGCCTTTTCGAATGCAACCGATTTCTTCGTGCGAAAACGGGTTCGGGGGGGAGCTTGGACAAGTCCAGAGGACAAAATTAGACGACAAGATATTGCCGTCAGGGACGGCCCTTTCCATCATGCCAATGGGCTGATCCGGCGCTGTGCAACTCGCCAATCTGTTTGCCGTGGTCGGTGGCCATTTTTGCACATGTGTACCATGTACTTGTAAGTTGGGTTCTCGTCTGTCAATGTGCGTCACGTGAGCTTGGCCCGAGTCAGGTGCGTTTCCTTTCCGCCGAGACGCATAGAAATCAAAAACCAAAAGGTCAACAGACATACGTACCCCCGACCAGAGATTGAACGACTTTGTTTACCTTGTCAACGTCGAGCTGGCCCGATCAAAATGAAGGATGCGACCCCCTTTTCTACCTTTGTGCTGCAACGTGAACATCGTCCACACCAAGCCTCGAGATGATAAGCGGAGATGACCTCCAATTATTAGCAACTAGCGCTCTCGCGTGGGCGTTTCGGCGAGTTTTTTGGGTCCTTTGGAGAGCAGTGTCTCCATTCATATAACCTATTATCGCCGATGTAACGAAAAGGGAAGGAGCAGTATGGACCCGGAGAGCACAGCAACCGACATTGGTGCAAGTCACCCCAGGGAGTGGAGAGCAGCCAGAATCACGCAGTGATAGGGACGGGATGGGTGAAGCCGCCGTCTTATTTATACTACCAAGTATATGCCCTGTACATCTGCGCTGCACCCTGGATAAGCAGGCCAACCCTGACAGCTCAGCCGTGGCGTGGTGTCTTGTTCAATCGCGACTCACGCTTCATATTGGCCCTATCAATGGCGCCTGCTTACCTGCACCTCCTACCAAGCTGCAAAAACGGATCAATATCATTCGCTGTGACATGCAGATATGCAGCTATGCAGGATTCACCTGCACGAGCTCGGGCTTTGATGCGAACACATGTTCCAAGCAGCATCCCCAGCGTGAAGTGTCACTTGACACTGCTTGTTGCGGCCGCATCCATCCTTGCTTCACCGCCGACGACTCTTCGCTCCTGTCAGCCGCTCCCTCCCCCTCTGTTTAGAACTATCTCGGGCAGCGTCTGCATCTCGTCAGGCAGCAACCTGGAGGCCAGCACAGAAAGCATGAGGCTGTGACCGCGAGCTGTGCATAGTTGTACCCTATATGATGGCGCTCCTCATCATCGATAGCCTTCTCGCCGCCCATGTTATCCCAAGTCTGTCTGTTCGGCGCCGCACTCCAATATGGAAGGGTACGACCATATGTGTTCGGATATGGTTAAATATCCAGAGCTGGCGATCTTTCGCAAATTCAAAATCCTGAACTACCGTACGCTGTTATTCTTACAAGCCGAACTGACTCACAAAGAGGACCGGCTCCTCGCTGCGATCCGAGCAGATCGAAATTCCGGCGACCCTGAAAGGAGGCAGTTTGCCTTCAGTTTCGAGGCCATGCTCCGGTCCAAGAGCGATATCGAGGGCGCAAGAGCACAACGGAAGCTGATGCGGGAGATTTGCCGTCTCGCCAAAGACTACAGCACGTGGTTGCCCTCTTCCAAGATACCCCGTTATGACTTTTGGTCTCGGCTGACTTTTGTCTGTTCGTTTCTTGAAAAGATGAATTACTCCTCCAAAATCGCGAACTCGACGACCTGCCTCCGGTCCACAAACCCAGTCTCGCGTGCCTCCGAGCGGCCCAGGTGAGCGTTTCGGACAGACGATTGTTTCTGCGCGGCCGCGAGCTCCATACGTGGAGCAAGAGAAAGGAATACGACCTCACATCCCTGACGGACCAGAAGGCGAACAGAGACCCTCTCTCCTCCTGGCTCGAGTGGTTCATCACCAACGTCTTCCACAAGTTCTCCGGCTCCGTGCATTATAACCCCGACCCCGTGGACGAGGACTGGGCGCCTGCCACTCCGACCAAGTTGGTCCAGTACCCGCAGAGACACATCTCGCGGAGCGTCACGGCTGTGACGACGATCCTGGCGCCGGTCCTGCCCACCGTGTCGGCCTCGGCCCTGTTCTTCATCGACAACGAGCTCACGCGGCTGGGCATCATCGTGCTGCTGAGCTTCCTCTTCAGCATCGCGCTGGCGTGCGTCGGCGTCCCGCGCAGGATCGACTCCTTCGTTGCCACTGCCACCTTTACTGCAGTCTTGATCGTCTTTATCGGCAATAACTCGAGCTGCGCGTGCTAAGAGGGGGAATCGCCGTGGACCTGGACCCAGACTGGGCTTGGACCGCGCCCGTTTAAGAGACAGAGACAGAGGCGGAGAAAAGGAGGAAAGACTGATTCGTCGGCTCAGTTCAGGTCATATTACCTTAGGCTGCCCCGGAGACGACGGGTGCATGCGTGCGTCCTGTACTACGCTACCATGTGCATATGCACGTACGTCCATCTCTACCTGATCTCTAGGTTCTAGCGAAGCTCTTCGACATACTTATTCGGCCCTTATCGTATTTTGTATTAATTTTCTGAGAAAATAGACTATGATGATGGCTACAAATACCTCTTGCCATTGTTTCTTTCATTTCCTTCCGATCTCAATCCACAATTCCTTTCTCTGCCGGAGTTGTTGGCCTCCTATGAATTACGTTCATGCACATCTATATATATATACACACTTCCCGAAAATCTCCCACCCGCTATCCGCGACTCCAAGCCCCAGCTATGTCTTCCTTCAGCCTTCTGTCCCTGCTTTCTTACGTGGTAGTGAATGTGTAGCTGAGACGACAATTCAAGAGTCTCCTTCCGAGAGCGAGAAAGAGAAAGAGGACTTCTTCTTTCTCCGTGTGGCCTGGACACATTCGCTAACTGCAGACGCAAATGCGAGAGCAGAAAGCCACTGTATCACACTGCTGCTGTTGGTTCGCACTTCCTCTCACGCGTGACTCGTCATGGATTCTGTGTCTAGGGTAGCTCTATGGGACCATGGCAAATTATTGGGGCGTCCGCGCACATGGGGAGGAGGTGGATAGGGGGAGGGAAATACTCCAAGAGGTGTCTGCGGAGAGGGCCTTCACTTAGACTCAGGGGTCAGGGCACCCTAGGAATTACCAAGCCTGAGTCGCCGTCACAGGCGTCTCGTGGAAGCCATACTGCTAGGGCGATTCTGGTGGCGACAAGTTTCCATCTAGGATGGCAGGAGTGGTCGTTTGTATCATGTCTTCAGAGTCCAGAAACCGACACGTGGTATGTTTGTTGCTCGAAAACGAGCCTTTGGCGCTGCCAGGGCGAAAGTGAGAAGAAAAAAAAGGCGCCATGAGTTCGTGAGATCAGGTCCCTATGTAATACGTTTAGAAATTGGTCTTTGTACTTCGGCAAGACTCTGACTATGGCCAGAGGGTTAGTCAAAGAGAGAGGAAAAAAGCATAATGGATCCTTTGGAATTGGCATGAGCAAGGTTCCACGGTCAAACAGGGACTCACCCATACCTACGGAAGCCCTTGTGTGCGGAGTTATGCAGCTCTGGGGAGCAAGTAAACAGCCAGTCGCCAGACGCTACCGGACCGCAGGCTCGAGAGCAAAACAGACAGAGCTTTCGAGGACGCACGACAGAGAACGGAGCTGTATATCATCAATCTTGCGATCTCATTCTAGACCAAAGAAGAAATAACCCTTCTGCTCGTGCTTTTCTTGTCGTACCGCTAACTGCCTGACCTGTTGGTCTGAACACTCGTGGGGCAGGGTCTTCAGTTTTTGTGGGCCGCGGCGGCACAAGGCTGACAACCCCTGGAAAGTTGCAGCCCTGCCACCACAAAGCTGAAGTGTAGATCACCTACACGGGCAATACAAGACCTTATGGTGCTTTAACATACGCCTAATGGAAAAGTCCTTCATTTATTGACCCCGTCCTCTTGCTGGACTCTAACTTGGAACTTCATTACATCGTGCACGTGATGGAGAAAGGGGCCGTTTCTTAGTGGTTTCCTTTTTTTTCCCCCCCCTTTCTCACCGCTTCCCCTTCGACATCATCTCGTCTGGTTCGAAACATATGTCTCTCGTTTCCGGACAATCTCTCAAGCGGTTGGTGAAATCCTCCCGTCCTGATCATAACCTTATCGCGACTACCGACCTACCATTTTCACTCCATCTTACTTATCGGACTGTTCCTGTGCGGACTTCCTGTCGAGTCGGCTGTCGGAAAACCCTTTCGAAGAAGCTTCTGCGACAACGATGAGCTCCCCGACTGGGCTCGAGACTCCATCAAGTCTTTTGAGCTGCTTTATCCAACTGTTCTCTCCCTTCTTCATCCTTGTCATACTCTTCTTTTTTGTCTTTGTCTTTGCTTTTCTGTCCTTCCCTCTTCTTAGCCTTTTCGCGGTTCTCTTGCCGACGCTTTTTGTCTGATTTACAAGTTAGTAAATCCCACACGAGGCAGATCTGTAGGTTCTGTGGTTGGAAAGGAGCATACCTGCTTTGGAACTGGCAGCCCAATTGCCCATGGGGAGAACCAATGGTTCCCTATTGTCCGGCTTCGACGACTTTCTCATGACGATGGGTGGGGCGTTGTCCTGCAAGATGCAGAATTCGTGGTTGCTGCCCCATTCATACCCTGTATGTTCAATTCGCAGGGATATCATGCCACGGAAACCTGGATGCTGATGCGGATTGTTATCTCCGGCTTTCGAGTACTCTACGTGAGGACCCAGGAGGGCTGTCAACTTTGGGAAGGTGATGATGTTACATGCTGAACCAGGGGCTATGACCGCGGTGTCGAAGCGCCAGTGCCGGATGCTGGGAGACCAGATCTGGATGCGTTCAGTTGTGTTGGAAGCGGACGGCTCCTGGCCAACAGAGCCTTGGTCAACCTTGCTGTCTTCTTCTGTTGGTCTTCTCGATGCCATGGTAGCCAAAAAAGAGAGGAACTCACTTGGAAGGCATGAAAGACTGCGTAGCGGGATCTCGACTCCAGCCTTGTTTAAAGGGGGCATCAACATCCTCTATGAGAGCGGCTGGCGACGTCTCCAACTCTCACAGCCTCCATCACAGGCATCCACAGACGTTATTTTACAGGGGGTGGGACTTCTCAAAGCAGCCTTTGGCACTTGCGAGGAGCACGACTGTAAAAGGGACATTGCAGCATCATGTGCAATTGGCACTCCTTGAAGATGCCTGACGCTGGCCGATACCCTATGGTGATTTGACGGCAAGAAGGCGTACGCATCCGCTTTCGGCTTTGGACTTCTGAGAAGAATCATGATTTGCAGCCTTTCAATCACGGTGGCCTCGACAACGGTCACCAGCCGGGATAGGGACTTTTTATTGACGACTGCTGGTGAGTACCTTCAGAATCAGATGCAGTCGATGATATCTATGGAGTTGATTCGTACAGACAACCAGACAAGTAACCTGGGGATGTTCTGTGCCACGTCACAGGATCAACCCAAACGCCCAGCAGATTCGATGAGGCGTTTCCAGAGAGCGCTGCACCCTGTCACCGGTCAGAGCAATGAACCCCTGTTGCATTGACACTCGTGGCGAAGAAGATGGCCAAGGTCGATGGTCGACTCTGCACCCAGAATAGCCTGATGTCTCCCCATTTTTTTCACTACATAAAATTCAATTACTCTTTCTGTTGAATCGCAAATTAGCGTATACGACAGATGAACCGTTCCCAAAGAATGTGCTTTCATGCCGTCGATGAGATCCAACGGAGCGCCTTTGCCCTCGTCCTGGATCTTACAACCAAGCGAGTCAGCCAGTTCCTTCGCCATGACGTTGAAGTCAGCCCCAGTGTCCTGGGTGGCCGTAAATGGAGGTAGGTTGGTCGCCGGTATGAGTGTAATCCCTCTGAATTGCTTCACTTTCTCCAGCCTCAATGACTCTTGCATCGCTTCGGGGGGTGCGTGTCCAACCGTGCCAACGAACAACCCGGGCTCATGGGGTCTGGGACCCCTGCTACCATCCCTTGGTTGGGCATCAGAACCGGATATGTATTCGGGAGTTCCAACATCATGTGCGAGCTGTTCGATTGCTAGCTTCGGCTGGCACACGGTGGTCAAATCATTGGAATGTCTTCTTTGCCCTACACACCCCTGGACGGCTTCATCCCTGCCAGCACTGTAATTGGTGGCAAGTCTTGCTACGTGCGCTTTGAGTACGAATTCTCCGTTCGTCGAGACGCCAGAGCCTCGCGAATGCCAAGACACCCCTTTATATCGTAGCCAACATTTGAAGGATTTTGCATAGCTGCTGAGCCGCCCCCGGGCATTTATCGGGGTTTTCTTATGGTCCTTGACATATCCACCGTCTCTTGCCGGTCCTTGAATGTTTTTCAATGCTATTTTTTGACCTGAAACGACAACACGGCAATGGAATTCGGAAGCTGGTCCAATAGACACGTGAGTGGGTTCATGGCTGCCATCTATACTGTCGTTGGTAGAGATCTCTACGACGATCGGGTGCGGATAGGCTTGCGTGGTATCGAAGGACAGTTTGAGAGACATAGTGCAGGATTTTCCAGGGCAGAGGAAGTCTGGCTGTGAGGACGTTGCGGCAGGCAATGGAGACGGTGAATGGCGCACCAATATCTGGAAGCAAAGCAGCAAGTCGAGACACGAAGTTTCAAAAGGATTCAGCACACAACACAAGGGCAAGGAAAGGAATAGGGGGCAGATTCAATACCATTTCGCACAGCAAAAATGAGAATGGCGGTGAACTGAACGCGGGCATGGTGCAGGACTCGGGTGCTGCTTCGCGGTGGAGTCTCCCTTTACACCTCAGTCTCGCAAAATTGAGCCCGGGATGCGCGCAACACTGGGCTCGAAGAACAAGAAGCTTTCGGGCCGGAATTCGGCAACATATTTCTCTAACCCATGGGACGGGCTCATGACCTGGAGTCGAGGAGACGGTACATAGCAACCTCATACCAGAGTTAGACCCAAGTAAGGGCAGAAACCTTTTCCTGCGGCGAGGGAAGGGCCATCATCAAACAGCCTGAGGGGTTGATTTCGCGGGAAGCCGAGCAGAGGCTGTTCGACTGCTTCTGGCGGTGACTTGAACAGCAGAGTCATTGCAGAATTGCAACATGGTCCGACCTAGAACAAAACCCATTCTCGTCGTCCAGATTTTGCTCGCCCAACCCGGGCGCTGGCCTCAGAAGATTGTGAACTCCCCGGCGCACTAACAATATTAGCGCGATATGGCCCCGGGCGCGGCAACAGCAACACCAGTCCGACGCATGGGAATAGCTTTGATCTGGAACAACGGGGACGGGCGCTAGTGTTGAATGAGACTGGTCGCTGGGGGCCCGAGGAGCCAGTGATGCCGTGGTCAGCCAAATCCAGAGCACAACAAGCAGCGATGCTGACCGCTTCAAGGCCTAGATGGCGGTCGAAAGCCTGCCTTCCTCGTGGGCAGCCGTCCTGCTATTCTGTGATTCTCAATGGAACGGAGAGGTGCCCTTTTGGTCTTCTGAACTGAAGACTCAGGTCTCGTTGGCGAAGCGCGTACTGTGAAAGTTCGCGCCCGGAATCACTAGGCGTCGCGGTCGCCACGCGTGTCGGCGTCGCACGGTGCTTTCGGCAATACTGCGGCTTTTCTCCAGTGCGGGATGCAATGTTGGTCTGTAATCTACCGTCCAGGCTACCGAGCAGGAAGACTCAACATCCCTGGCTGGACGACACGGAGGTACATGGATTCCGAATCTGGCCGTGAGAGAATTCCGGTGCTCTGAATGATTCCCAGGGGAGAGAAATGAAGAAAAAAAAAAGGGCTCGTGGTATTTGGGGATGAATAAGTCGCTGGGGATGTTGCGAAGTCAGGAATGGTACGTACCCCATTCGTTTAGCCTGTGATTGGCGCAACAAAGGCCGAATCGGTGACCACTGACCACAAGGAATTCGTCATTCTGGGCTGTAGTGGCAGACAAAGATCACACCGAAACACGGCAGGAGACCAAGAAAAAGGAAGGAGAAAATGCAGAAAAAGCAGAAAGGGTGGGTGAGCGAGAGCTTAAGAACCTTGTATCGGTGTCAGCGACCGAGTACCCAGTAGAGGCTACCTACCTCGTGGACCAAGGTCGCTTTTACTCGCTACCACCCAAGTCGCGAGCTCGGTTCTTTTGCCGTTCTGGCGTGGGTTCTGCGCTGTGCTGCGCTGATGGATCCCTGACAGACCGAGACCTGCAAGACCTGCTACTATTGGCACCTCCTGTCCCTGGGCAACTTTTAAGGTGTTTCTCATCACCGTGACGCACATGAACTGATGTGAACTCTGAACCAGTCCGTCGTAAATGAGAAGTCGCAAAGCAGCATGGCAGAGCGGCAGCTAGCCTGTTCGTTGCACCACCCTTGCGCCTTGTCGCCACCATCTCCTCGGTCTTGACTGGCCTGCGCTCAGGCAACTGTCGCTCAGGACTGGTGTATGCAGCCCCGGCTGCCAACTCAGCTTTGCATACAGCGAGCGAGTGGTTGCAGCCTCATGCCGCACTCATTCTCCCCCCAGCGTGGCTGCGCTGCGTCTACCTCGAGCCGCTTCGGCCTGAAACCCAGCCCGAATGATCACTCTTCCTCTCCAGGTTCAGCAATATGAACGGGTACAACGCTCTCGCAGGCTATATTGGGACTTATCCGACTCTCGCGGTGTTCAGGAAGTTCCTGATTCTCAATGCTCGGAACCTCCTCTGCATGCAGGGCGAGATTGTCAACCTCGAACATGGTCTGAGAGTGACAATCGAAAAGGATCGCAATGCAGAAAAGTCTGTGAGAAATGAGTTTGAATGCGATATTTCGGCCTTAAAAGGACCACACGAAAAGCCGCGTGACGGCTTCCAATGGCAAAGAACCCTCGAGTTGCGCCGCCTGTTGAGGGACTACAGTATGTGTCTTCAAGAATCTTCCCGATGCCTAGATGCCCTTCATTAACTCTTCTTGCTCCATCTCCAGACGAAGCACTCCTTCAATTCGCCGCCCTCTGTCGGCTTGCTCCGGCAAACAAGGCTGACTGGTCCACCCTGCGCGAACTGACCGAGAAGGCGGACGACAGTGGGGAGCCCTTCCTGGTTGCTCATGAATTCGAGACCTGGGAGGAAGAACACTTTCGAGACTTGACCTCACTGGCAGGACATCACGCAGACAGAGATGCGCTTTCCAGGTTCATTGACAAAATGGTGAGGTCGGTCTATCACAGATACGTTGGCCACAAGTTCCATGATCCACTCTCGGTTGTCGAGGCATGGGGAGCCGCAGGAAAACGGAGACCCGTCATCTACTACCCCGACGGCTATATCTCGACTACCCTAGACAGCCTGAGCACCATTTTGGCCTCTGTTCTACCAACCATCGCGGCATTCGGAATATATCTGATAAAGGATCCCATGACGAGGATGGGAGCAATCGTGGGGTGTACTCTCCTGTTCTCCACAGTACTCTCCCTCATAGCTCGACCCAAACGAGCAGAATGTTTTGCGGCGTCAGCTGCCTTTGCAGCAGTCCTCGTCGTCTTTGTGGGAAACTCGAGCGGAAATTCGAACGGGAATACGTGCTAAGATGGCGGTTTGGGACAGGGCGAAGGAGCTGGAAGGTACCAGGATGGCTGGCTTCGGCAAGGGGCACCGATGTTTCGTGATGATGGTGGATTGGAGCGTGTGCGAGATCTGGTATGGTCATAGCATTGTGCTTTCCATAATGACGACAATGATGATGATAATGAGACAAAACACGCATGCATTCGTTTCCTGCTCCGAGAATCAAGTTCGGCCGAACCGATAGATTTCTGTTGCAGTAAGCAACATCAAATCACATCACATCGTCCTTGAGTGTTGTCGTCAATAATCAAAACACCGATGCCGTCCCATTCACACCTTTTCTTGTATCTTTTCATCTCCTGTCGAATCTTCTCTGTGCGCCCGCCACTGCCCCTGACCCGTCCCTGTGGTCTCTCCATGCGAACTGCGCCCGATTTTGATCGACAGATCGCGGATGCCATCGGGAAGGAGACTCTCGAGGATAGCAATCACGCGGCGAGAAAGGCCATCAAAGCGTGAAAAGGATACTGATGATTCTTCATCAATGATGTCAAAGGTCAAACAGTTAGAAGAAACATCAAGTGAATCGAGCAGAAAAGGAACCATTCTCAAACTAGGCATTCATTGCGGCTCGGAGCGGGCTAAATCCATTCTCCCGTTGCCTGCCAAATGGGGTTTGTCCTAGAGGAGTCGGGCTCATTACAATAGGCGCATCAACCCCCCCGGCCCCCTGAAGCGATAGCCAGCTGTCTTCCTCAAAGCTGACCCAGTGTCCATGAGACGCAACCCTCTATCAGAACGACTTGGTCCACACTCAGGTCGCCATCCGTCTCAGTGCCTCCTGCGTGGTCATCACCTCACCGAACGCGAACTCGAATCCTCGGATGCCCATTTGGTGCTGTCCATCATTCGCACTCCCACAAGCATCGGATATAACCCAAGTCTCGTACCCGCGATTGAAGGCCGCTCTACCTGTCGTGTCGACACAACAGTCCGTCATGACTCCGACGACAATTACACGCTCGATGGCCGCATGCTCGAGGATGGTTGCCAAGGGGGTGTGAATGAAGGCGTCATATGTATTCTTGGGCACGAGCTTGGGGAACTCAGGCGACGTGGGCTCCGGTAGGGACTCTCCAATGGTGACCTGTTGCTTTTGTTGTAGTAGTTGTTGGCATTGCTCGGCTGTTCTATTCAAATAATTCCGAGGCAGGAACTTATGCAGCTCGGGCATGATCTCTCCCTTGCGCGAGCCTTCACCGATTGACCCCGACACACCCCACTTGCGGACCAGTTGACTGCACGAATCCGGGACCATTTCTACCTTCGGATGGCCGTGCTTCGTAAACACAATGGGCGCCGAGGTCTCTGAAAAATGCTCGCACAGTTTGATGATGTTTGGAAGGGCCGTTGTGGTCATGGGCTCGAAGACGACTTGCATGTCGACCACCAGCAGTGCCGTTTTGGGAGCCATTTTGGCGGTGTGGCTGTTCGATTGCAGCTAAGAATAAGCGATGGGTGGTGGCGAAGGATTCGAGGAGGAGGAAGAGGAGGAGGAGGCGGAAGTGGTGGTGGTTGGTGGTATAGTTGGTGGTGTTTGGGCATGCAACCAGGCCACAGCTTTTGTCGACTTGGAGGCCCAAGAGATGAATCGAAGAACCAAAGACGACAATATTGAGCAGCACAGCTCCTCCGATGGAGGGCAAAATCTGCAATGCACTGTCCGTTCTGTGTGCGCTGCTCATGAGACTCTTGCAGGAAGCAACCAGCAGCATGCAGACCAATTACGTCAGCTTCAATTGCGTCTCGTGCCGCTTCACTTTCCACACTACGCGTCTCTCGTCTCTTTCCTCGTGAGCCTCACCGGTCCCAGAGATCTGCGTGGCAGCTGTCGTGAACACCATGCGCTGGTGTTACCACCCTTCATCACCACTCCAAACGCAGGGCTGAGGTCTAGATAAGATTGCCACTGATTGGGCCTCGTTAAATTAGCCTCGACTCCGCGCCATGATGCGAACCAAGGTGCGAACAGGTGGATCCGGTGCGGGAATTGCCTGATTGAGAGTAAGGCACTGACCACCGGCGCAAAAGTGTTCGGTCGAATGGGGCCATGGGCGACGACAACGCACGGTTCGTCCCGGCCATAGCTCGCCTTGGTCCAGAATCATTTAACGCGGCTGCAGAACGCGGGAGGTCAGGCGGACACTCTGGTGTTGTCGAGCAGATCAACGTTTTATCGACCAGAGTTCCAGATGGGCTCGTTCAAGTCCTCACAAGTTTGACGTGGTCGGGCATCACATACAAATCGGGCGCAGAGGAGAAAAGGCGGTGTGCCTACTAGTCTTCTAACGAGCCACGAGGCTACCACAGTGCCGCAAGGCTGAAGATGCATGACAATCTGCAAAACATGGCCGGCTCGAGAGTCGACAAGACAAAGGTAGGTGGTCGAACACCACTGAGCGGCACCGGTGGGAAAAAGGAGGTCAACAAACAGCGCGAAGATATGTCGCGGACTCACCAGAACATCAATAATGCGAGCAATGAATCTCGAGAGAACTACAAGGGACGAGGGCTTTTTCGTACTCATACCTGGTTTTCATTCTTGTTGTTATGTTCAGCCTCCTGTACGGACCCGCGCTGTTGGTTGCACTGTTCAGTGTCGCTTGGGGACCTCGTTTGTTAGTCTGCAGGATTTTCCTTCACTTGGGGCTACCATATTGTTGGCTGGCCTCCCTCTTTCGGTTCAAAAGAAAGAGAGGAGCAGAAAAACGGTCAAGATCCTCAATCAACACTCACACCTTCGCTTTTTTGGCTTGCTTGCTCCTCCTCAGGGTACTCTCCGACGCCGCGGGGTGGTGCCGATTGGACAGGCCCCACGTGTAGATTGACTCACTTCGTGACTTTCTCAGCGTCTGGATAGAAAGTCCTGGGACAATGTTCGGTGAAAGTGTAGGCGCGTTTGCCCTGATACGAGCATCTGCACGTATGTAGCCGCATTCATCCCGAGCTTGCTAGATTGATGGCGGCCCTGGCCCCCGTCTCGAGGGCACTGAGTAGTGCCAGACAACATGCCAGGAGCATGTCAATCATGAGACATCATTTTCCATGTCGGTTGCTGTGAGAATACATCCCTCCCCAAAAAGGATCGTGTTTTTGCTGCACAGTGGCATAAACTTAGAATCACGGCTGGATGCAGTCGAGACTGGACGATGATGTTTGCTTAAGGAGATGGGCAAAGCCCTCCCTCTGGTCAACAAGCAACAGGGCTTCCTGCCGGAAGGCAGGAAGTAGAGTGCGTTGTCGGCCATCCAAGACAACCAGGTCGTGCTGGTGTGCATATGGGGCCAAAGAGTGGCGATCGATTTTTTTTCTTCCTCAAGTCAAAGAGCGATATGATGACCTGTTCGATATTGAGTAAGAAGGGGCCGTGCGCGAAGTAAAGCCATCTTCCCGCACCAAATTGTTCCCCTGTGAAAGCCATTAGAGTGTGGGGGGTTTTGACTTCAAAATCGAAACCTGCCACGGTACCAGAGGACGTTCATATCGGAAGAGAAGAGAGTATACAGATTGAATGCGAACTGGTGGTTTGTGAGGTAGAGGGAGGTAAACCCGTATCACTTCTGCTTGGAACCCTCTGCAAGCCAGGAGCAATGAGAAGATTAGTTGACGGGAGGAGAAGGGAGAGAAGAGATACTTGTAGCTGGGTTTGTGGGTAGTCGTCCTGCCAAGGTGCAAACAAAACAACACAAAACGAAACAGGTGCGGCACTTGACCAAGGTGAGGTCAAAGTGAGTTGAAAGAATGGCGAGCGCGAGGCTGGATGTCATGGTCAGGGCATCATCTCCGTGCAATTTTCGTTTCCCTGTGGGACGAGGAGTCGAGTTTGCTGCGGGTCATTCAGCTCGACTGCGCCTTTGGATCAGGTGGGGTTTTTGTATCTGCACGGCGGCTGCTCTGAGTGATGAGAGTGATTTGAAGCAGGAATCAGACTCTGCAATGTCTGAAGAACGAGTGTTTACCTTCGGCAATCATGCTGAGCTGTTGAGTTGGTCATGGCGTGCTGGGGTGACTCGCTCCAACATTGTTCCTTCTCCATCTGCCTATCTCCTGACCATGAAGCCAGATGGAAGCCCACAGAAGTGCTTGATTCAACCACACCGGCCGGTAGACGGAGATAAGTACTCTCATTGTTCTGGTGACAAGTGCGGAGGCAAAGCCCGCTACCTACTACTCCTCTTGGTCCATCAACGTCCTTTCACGAAGAAACCGAGAACGGATCTTTTCCTCTTGGTGCACATCCACAGAACCGCCCGAAAACATGATGCGGCACCAGAATGTTGAGAGGGCCCTGGAAAACACAACAAAGTAGAGACCGGTCCAGCTCAATCCCAGTTTCAACTGGCTGGAGACAGGAGATAGTCCCCTGCTGGGGACAAGGCGTCTGGGTTGACAATGCGTCAACTGGGGCAAATCCAAAACCATATCCTCCTTTTCAGAAGATAGAGCGGTCTCGTACACGTGAATTATTGCGGTGACATGTCGAAAGACGCTGGGGTGCAAAGGCACCGCTAAGGTAGGAACAAGTTCTGAGCATGATCATCAGTATGTATTCAGGCTATTTAAACAACAACTCTGATTTGACCTACCTTCAGGGAGGTCCTATGGATCTTTGGGAGCACCAAATACGACAATGCCAGCCAACCAGAAATGTGTTAAGCCACACATGACTACCTGCATGTCAATTGAAAGCCTAGATCTTACTCTGATATCATCCCCTGTGAAACCCTGATGGCAAAACACACGCGTCGACATTGACGAAGCCATCCAAGCTCGTCTCCGCTCTGCATATCTCACAATCCGGTATCAGCTGAAGCGCACATATTTCATCAGCGACAACGCGCAACCCAGACCGTCTAGGACACCGGGGTGGAATATCTTGTCAACTCGGTTGTCCTTGTTGACAAGACATTTCCGTGGTCGCATACTGCAATGGAGAGGTCAGACTGGTGGCACGGCCAGAGTTGAGAGATAGTGCAACGAGGGAAGCTTTGAAGTCTCTGACGGCTAATCGGAATCAGGGAAAGACATAGCCCATCTGCAGCCTCCTCATGGGGTTCAAATGCAATTCGCCACATTACTTAGATGTCTAGAGGCACTTCACTCAGGGTGACCTCCAATCCGAATTGTCGAGCTTCGCTCTCGACCCTGCCGCTTAGATGCCGGTCTGACAAGGCTGTCATGGTAGGATCGTCTCAGCTGTGCCTTACTCTTGTCATACGATGGCGTCGGCGAGAAGAGAGGTGATGGCTGGCTTCAAAAGACCGGAAACGAAATCAATAGTGGGTTTGCCCTCCAGCCGCCGATCTCGTCAAAAAACTCGACAGGTTTTGCGTCGGAACGGAACTTGAGGCACGGGTTTGACGGCGCATGAAGATCGCAAGTAAAATCGCTACCAGTGCGCGCGTGGTATTCAAGGACATCGATGGTGTATACCTTGGCGCCCATCGGTTTGGATACAGTTCGGATGTGGCGATCTGCAAACGCGTAAATCAGCGCCATGGACAGCTAATGGATATGCGTACTGGGGAGCGAAATTCTACGAGGAATGCAAAGAGGAGTATAGAGATGGACACCGGGACCTTGACCTTGGATAGAGGGTCTTCGCTGTGAATTTCTCGCAATTTCTCCTTGTGCGAACAGATCGGTAGTAGATTTATTTCGACTCACCTGTGATATACTTCCGGATGCATTGATGATGGCAATAGCACAGGCTCGCATCTCTTTGGGACCTCGTATCGTCTTCTGCGCCCAGGAGAGAACAACCGGATATCCAGAATGTCCCCCAACAATCATGAGAAAAGCAGCAGTGTAGCGAACCCCCACACCACTTCGTGTGGACGACTGGTCGAGCAAGAAGAGTAAGAAACCGAGCATTGCTAGTGCGGCCGGCGCAACAACGTGAGGGCAAGCGTTGCGATGCCGGTCGGCGCACAGACTGTTGGCAATGGTGACGACAACTCCAATGAGATATGGAGGAGCTGTCATCCACAGGGTCGTATTCCGAGAAAATCCAAGGGTCTTTACGACCGAGGGGAGGAAGTTGTGCACCGACGCACCAATCGCCAAAAGCAGGAACATCCCTGTGAAAACCCAGACTTGCCAGCGGCTTACAGCCATCACGAGGCCGCGCCAACGGCCATAATCGCTTTTATCATCCTGAACACCGTTGGCAATCATTCGCAGTTGAGCAACTGCGATCTCTTTCTCGGAGAGGTAGCGGGTGTTGGATGGAAAATCTGGAAGGACGTAAAAGCTGGCGCAGGCAACGAAAACTGTGCAAACACCACCCACAATGAACAACCAACGCCACGCCTCGAGGCCCCGTGCTCCGTCGATTGTGTCGTAAATACCAAAAGCGATAAGGCCAGAGAAGGCGTTGGCCGTCATCGGCGCCGTCAGAAGTATGGCACTGCGTAATCCAAGCTCAGTCCTTGTGTACCAGGATGAGATGAGGAAAAGGCAACCGACGCAGAAAGGCGCCTCCAAGAGACCCAGAAAGAAACGCACTACAGATAGTTGTGACGGAGTCGTCACAAAAGCAGTGGCCGTGCACACACATCCCCAAAGGGCCATCACCGCCGGGAGATAGATTGAAGGGCGTCCCTCTGCCAGGTAGTAGTTCGAAGGAACTTGTGCCATGACATATGCAATAAAAAGAAGCATCATAGCGAGGCCATACTGATTTGAGTTCATGTCCAAATCCTTCTGCAAGCCCATGACTTTTGCATTCCCGAGACTGCTCTGCAGCGGTGTAGCGTTAGCTTCCCATTCATAAAGCGCTTGGGGTGACGGGGACCACGTACTCGGTCGAAAGAATTCAAAGCAAACATGATCCAGGCCATGGACACGAGGCAAACGTCGAGTAGTCTTTTGATTCTCTTGGCTATCGACAGTATTTTCTCCTCGCTGATGTCTTGAAGTTCCCTTCGAATAACGTCGCCGACTCTTCCACCATCATGTAGAACAACGATTAGACTCTCAGGAGGGATGGATTTCTCGGCCGTCCCATTTTGGACATTTCTGACCTTGGGGGAGAGGTGGCGGCAGAGTTTTAAGAAGGGGGTGGTGATTTTTTCGGACATTTCCAGGGACGAATGCCTCGACAAAGCGAGGGTGCAACAGAGTAAGACACCCTTTCAAGGAAGAGACAAGGTCGAGTTGGATATTGAAGGCTTCCGGGCATCGTCCTATGCTTCCTTTTTGTCTTGCTGCAAGATGCAAGGAACCACAGCGGGGATCGCAGAGCAAGAGGCTGACAACATTTCATGCTTATCATCATATAGTGAGTTCAAACTTGACGTATCCGATATTGACTTCAATGCGTGTTCCGAGCGCTAATTGAGAATGCTAAATATTTGTTGCAATGTCTGAGAGAGCTGAGATTCGGCGAGGGACGGCGCATGCGCCAATCTGTGTAGACAAGAACTCCATCCAAACCTTACCATTGCGGATTCTTGGCCAAGCATGCCCACATGCGTCATCTGTTTGCTCATAACGTGTGTCAAGATGCTCAGCATTGATCAAACCATCGATATGGCCCAACGAGATACCGTGACTCTGAAAAAGCTGTGGAAGAGAGGCGCCGAACGGAGTTGACCAGATCTTCGAACGTGAGCGCCGTTGATGCTCTCAATTGGTTCCGGTGCAAGCTAGAATTGGACCGCACAAGGCAACCCGAACTCAGAATTTGTTGCGCTCAGGCGTATTTCAATGATGCGAGAGAGTACATCTTGGTGCGAGAACGGCGCCTTTTCCTGCGAGGGAGGGATAGCCAGGGACGGCGTATAAAGCGGAGTTGGTGCTGACATCCTGCAGTGGCGGAGACGCAGATGTAGATGGAGATGAAAATTCCTCGTTCAGGTCAGGTGGCCATTCAGCACGGCTTTCCCGCTTCCATATGTATCTGGGTTAAAATGAATGCGAGAAAAACTGTGCCAGGGAGGAGAGGAGTGAGGTTGGGGAGGAGGAAGCAAAGGAGATCAATCAGCTCGCCGCTTTTAATCCGAGGTGCCCTTGGATTCACAGTACGAGGTACAATGAACGGAGATCTGCTCCTCTCCGTCGATTTCAGATTGATTCGGATTTGACTTATATATATTTGTTTGCAAATATTGAAGGCAAAAGGGAACGAACAACCTCAAGGTTTCGAAGTTGTCAATCAACGTCAAGTGCATGTGGCCATGCCCGTTGGCCCATCGTGCACCGTGTGCTCTAATCTTCACCCAGAGACATTGGAGCAAATCCAACCAGGACAGTATGCCACAATGTTCATAAGCGCAAGCGAGCTCGCCCATTCGGTTCAGACAAAGTCGTGCTTGGAATGTCAGTTGCTCTCCGATGTCATCAGTACTCGACACGAGGACTGGACTCTCCACGCGGAACAATGGCCATCAATTCGCCTTGGGCTGGCCGTTGGAAAGCCCGCGCAACTGAATTACCGCACTCAAGATCGCACAGATGTATTTGACCTTCAAATCTATCGTTCGGCATCGCAACAGGCCGTTGAGTGGGATGTTGACCTTCCAAAAGCTATTGGGCTGGGTCCCGACATACCTCCTTTTTCGGGTTCTGAAGAGAGCATTTCATTGATCAAAAAGTGGTATGCTGAATGCTCAGCTGAGCACGAGCTGTGCAATTCTTATTTCTCGGGTGACAGGCCTACACGATTGTTGGACACCCGCGGCGAAAACCCAGCCCTAATTGAAGCAAGCACGGCGGACAAAGCCGGGTACGTGGCTCTGAGCTACTGTTGGGGGACCCCAGACAAGCATCCAATGCTCCGAACCACGAAGTCCACCATCTCTCAACGTCAGGCTGGCATCGAGTTCGCCTCGCTGCCTGCTGTATTCCGAGACGCCATCGTCCTGGCAAGAGCTCTTGGTTTTATATACATCTGGATAGATGCATTATGCATCATTCAAGATGATGCTGACGACTGGACCAAAGAAGCTGCCACAATGTGCAGGGTGTATTCTCAGGCGTCGCTAACCATAATTGCAAGTCGCTCCGATGGCTGTACCACCAGTATTTTTGGCGATCAGGCTTTTGCTCAATTTGATGTGGTGTCCTTCAAAGGTGTGTCGCTCAGGGTGAGGACCAATATTTCCAAATCCCACGAAATCAACCCAGTCATCCCACTGGGTCCCGACGCCGACCCTATCAGTCGAAGAGCTTGGACTTTGCAGGAAGGCGTCCTTTCGAACAGGGCTGTCTATTTCACAAGTGACGAGCTTCGTTGGGAGTGTAATACCTGGCGCCGTTGTCAATGCGGTCAACTGAAGACGAAATTCCCTCTCAAGTACGATGCCGAGGAATACGAATATGAAGGACACCGCACATGGCGTCTGAACGACTTCTTCCCCACTCACTCGGTCGAAGAAGCTTACCGAATAATGTGGCAGAACATGGTAGTCTTCTACACAAACAGGAGTCTAACGATGGAGCAGGACCGGCTTGTTGCACTTTCGGGACTTGCGCAACGATTCGATGCATTGATGAAGGAGCGTTTCCAGAGGAAAGACACATATCTAGCTGGGATATGGCAAGGAGCTTTGCCCGCTCAGCTACTCTGGTGTATTGTCAACAAGGCACATTCGACCACCCTTGGGTATGAACATACCCGGCCGTCGGCTTGGCGAGCTCCGAGCTGGTCATGGGCTTCAATGGAAGCACCAGTGTTCACTTTCTTGCATACCAGTATTGACAGTCGACTCGAAGTAATGGAGGCTCTTGTGGAACCGAAAAGCGAGGATCATTTTGGCCAAGTAAAACTTGCCATACTGAGGGTTCGCGCTCCTGTCCTCCATGATGTCCGCTTTATTCGGGATCCTGAGAGGGTTGGCTGGAGCCGCTTTCCTGTCGTCAAATTCCACAATCTTGATCTTCGCATAGAAAATGCATTCTTTGACAATGACCTCGAAGCCGAGACTGACAAGTACCTCAACGATCCGAAGCAGCGCTTCAGCCTTCTTGTCGTGGGTTACGGGAAAGGTAACGACCTGCACGAGTGCCTCGCGATCACACCTGTATCCGGGAAGATAGCGACCTTTGAACGGATCGGCTTGATCAGACTGGGTCAGCACTTCAGAGAGCCGGAGGGAAACGCGAGAGCGATTGAGAACGCGTCGTGCGAGGAAGTGATTCTCGTGTGACGTGTCGCGGAGCACTTGGAAAAAGTCCCATAGAGCAGCGAGAGGTGCAGCTCTTTGAGCCTTTTGATAGGGGATCTGCCAACTGCGGAGAAATTTCACCTTCTCCAATGTGCACTGTGTTGGACTGTGGAAAGTCAAAACGACCTTCGACCTTTGACAAGACTGCGCCGTTGGAATTGAATCTACACCTCCATCCTTGACCCTTCTCAACGAGCCTCTGCCATTTTGCTCTTTGCTCAAGAGTCCGAAACTTTCGCTCAACACAAACACCACATTGCAGGACACTCTTAGCTGGCCCTGACCTCCGCCGCGAAGCCCAGCTTGTATCCAAAGCCCTTGCTCGCCTCAAGACAACCACCACTATCGCCCTCCTCTTCCACCATGTTCGCCGGACGTAAGTCTTCGTTTCGCATCCCTCTCTAAGGTCCTTCACCTCCCTTTGCTAGAAGATCTCGTCTGACGTTTACATCTCTCGAAACAGCGCACGACCACCTCTCCGAGAAGGAGATCCGCGAAGGCGAAGCACAAGCCACTGCGCAAGTGCAGTTCTTCGCCGTCGCCTGCGTCGCACTCTGGTTCTGTAGGTTTAGCGTTCCGTGTCCTGATATTTTACCTTTTGCCTTCGATCGCCCTCCCTCCCCGCTTTTCCGGGTATTATGCTTCTCGAGATCGTCCGGTTCGCGCAATGGGACAGACGAGAAGCAGGAAAGAAAACCAGAAACACAAATTTTGTTGAGAGACGAAACAACACCAGCAATTGATTGACCGAGACTGGTTGGCTGACGATGGAAACTATTTCACTCCGATTCCAGCTCCTCACGTTGTCGACTGGGCGAGCAAACTCTTCTAGAGAAACCGTGATACCGGTCGGCTTCCTTCTTACGACAATGAGCGTTCTCTGGACCAACACAAACACTATGTCTGTGCCGAATGAGGCTGGCATGGGGCAACTCGAATGGAAACGTCTCTTCAAGGGCAACAGCCTAGACTAGAGAAGAGGATCAACTTGAAGGGAAAATCTCTCCTGTACATTAGCTTGTACACCATCGTGTTCCAGCAGTGCAGCTGCTGGGACCGTCGAACTCTCGTTCGACACGGGCAGTGGTTTGAATACAGATGGCATCTTCTCAATTCATGGATTCCAAATCATCATCAACAGTCGCTATGCAAGATCTTGTTGCTTCGCCTTGGTATTCCATACAAATGCTTCGATTGGTCCGCAAACCTGAGCCGTCCGAGGAGGATTTCTGTTTAACTCTTCGCACGCAATTGTTCCCAACCTCCTTTATTTCAATTACCTCCGCCGAGGAACATCATTATCCCTGTCCTTAGATATCTTTTCCCACTCGTCATGCTCTTGCTGCACGAGTTCCAGTTCTTTCTGCAGATGCCGTAGTTGAATTTCGTAGGCTTCCAGTGTCTGCACAGTCGAGGAAAAGTCAGTACACAAAGTCATTGAATTGTTCTTGGTGAGTTTGTTTTTGTCGCGGATTGCATCGTTGCTAACAGATACATACCTTTTTTGCAGCTTTGATCGTATCCTCATCCAGTGTTGTACCTTCTCCATCAGCAGCAGCCGCCGGTGCGATCTTCTCCATTTCGTTCTTCAATCTCTTCGCCCGTTCTCGAATTCCTAACATCCTCGCCCAGATTTCCTGCTCTCGGGCATTCAGAGAGGGGTCAAAGACTTCGCGTTGTAACTTTTCCAGTTTCGCTTTCAGTTCTTCTTCGGCGTTGTCCATCACGTAGCCTCGGTTTCGAAGAATTTGGACTTTGACTGCCAGTGCTAATGTCCGCTGAGCTGCCGCGGCCTGTCTTCTCTTGCATTCTTCTAACCTCGTGGCCATATTTTGGCGGTGTTTGTCCAGTTGAACGTCGAGTGATGTGTTGATTTCTTGGAGCATCATATTGCATCTTTGGATGGCCTCCAT